ATATTTATGGGGTGCCAAGTGATGGTGCACTCTGGAATTAATTTATTAATTCATTTATTAGTCTGGAGTTAATTGTGTCAGCTAATTTCCAAGTACAACAAAGGTGATGTGGGCATAGTCTTTGATAGGTGAGAAGGAGATTTCTGGAGATGCTTTAGCTCAGCAGGAGGAGCATTAGCAAAAGTTAGAAGTTTAAGTTAGAAGTTTAACCTCTGACCTGTTGAAGGGCCCCATTTTTTCACAATCCCTGTTGGTAGAACATCTTATCCTGGCCTGGAGCAAACTTTGGACACAGACTTGGCACTGCTGTGGAAGAGCCTCCCAGGATATGTAGAGGTTTTGTGTGGGAATAACCAGCTGACAGTCTTCAGCCCATCCCACGGGTGGTACCAAAAAGTTCTCTTTTTGTTTAAAAGTGCACTTTGAAAACCCCACAAGCAGTAAACATTCTAGTGACAGGACAAAGGTGCAGCCCTGCCTTGGGCTGTGGTTCTGTGTTTGTTTTGGATGGGAAGCACCTGTGAAGGAGACGTGCAGTTCCACACCTCCAGGGATTCCTTGGCACATCTGTGTGTGGGTTGATGCAAGAACTGTTGGCTCTTCTGTGGGTCAAACCACAACAGGTCCTTTTTACTGGTGTTGTGTGAGGTTGGGAGGGTGGAGATTTTTAGGCTTTTGGTTTGTTACCTTTGTGTGAGCAAATTTCTTTAAACAGTTGTGCTGGGAGAGCCTGGGAGTTCAGGATGTAAAGCTGATGGCTTCAGGAGACAGTTCCTGAGGTCAGCACAGAAAGTGCAGCTCTGGCTGAACATCCTGGAGGGGCTGTGTCCACCTGGGCATCCTGGAGGGGCTGTGCCCCATTGATGTGGGGCAGTTTCTGCTGGTTCAGGCTGACAGGATGCCCTATTAACCACAGCCAGGGTTTGGGATCAGGGTTTGATCCTCCCCGGAGGTGGGACACAGGGAGTGTTGCAGAGAACTTTCTTGCCAGAGCTGGGTGGTTTCAAAGATCACTGAGGTGTGTGTACAGTTCCTGCAGAGAACAAGCCCCAGGAAGGTGTGTTCTTGCAGCTCACATGAGGGTTTGCCATGATGGTTTTTTTATTAATTCAAGTAATTTCATGGTCCTCTGAATAAATGCTCCCCAAAATAAGCCTCAGACATCCCTCTGACACCTCTGGTGTGGGCTTGTTTGGTTTGATCTCTTGGTGGGGTCTTGTTCAGCATTGCATTGGGCACAGTGTGTTAATTCTGCCTGGATCAGAGTCCAGAATCCCTCTGGCTGTTAATCCAGCACGTGTGTGGATCTGTGTGTGGAAGGAGCAGCTGGGAGAGAGCCAGGACTGTGTCTTGCTCTCAAGTGATGACTCAGTGGTAGCTGTACCATGAGGACCAGGGCAGTGGGATTTCCTTCTCCTGCTGTGTTTATCTCATTTCCACTGGATAAAGCTGTGGCAATAATTTATTCTGTCCCTCAAGGCTTGGCTGTGGGGACTGTCACAGCCGCTCTTGGTCCCTGCTGGCTGTCACTTACACCTGTGCACACCTGGGGCTGTGGGATGCAGGTCAGGGAGCAAGACTTGCAGGGAAACAGGAAAGATTTTTCAAGGGGGATGATGACAAATGAATTCCAGCCCTGCAAATGTTTCTGACCGCATGCTGTCCTTGCTGATAGATCCACCACAGGCAACCCCAAAGTGCTGGGCTGAGAGCTCCTCGTCAGGGCTGATGCTGCAGCTGTTCTGCAGCTGGCCTGGAGGGTACCCCCACCCCACCCTGCACTGGAGAGAGGAGGGGCAGGATTTGGAGAACTCCAGCTGGGTCATCAGCTCCACCAGCTCCTCAGACACCCACGTGGAGACGCTGAACAGCTCCCACCTCGCCCACCGAAAAGTCTTCAAGTGTGTGGGCAGCCACGTGGTGAAGCAGGAGCAGCCTGCCTGCACTGTGGAGATAAGTGAGTGGATTTGCTGCCTCATTAACTGCTAATGAAGCTGATGAACTGGGGCAGGTCATTCCGTGCACTCCAGAGCACTGAGGAGGTCAGGGAAGGCAGGAGGTGACATGGCAGGGCACACGTGCAGCACGAGGCACAGGTGTCCTGCAGCTGAGCTCCACCGTGGCACAGTTGTAGGTGAGCTGTGTTTTGGGCCCATCTTCAGGGGCCAACAAATTTCACTCCAGCAGTGTTTTCACATGTGGAAAGCTCCCATATAGCTGTGTGAAAGTGAGAGGCAGTTTGGGGGCTGTGGGCAGCTTGAGATGAGGTTTGCTAAGGGTGCGTTTAAGGGTTGTGTGTGCCCTTCAGGCATCTCAGGGATCTGAGTGGCTGATGAAAATCTGGGCTGTGATTATCCTCCAAGGGTTGTCAAAGCTTCACAAGAGCTCTGCTGATCACAAGGAAAATAATGTCTGGGCTGCTCTTCTCCTCTCTGCCATCTACCTGCTGGCTGCCCTCAGACCATTTTTCCCTGGGGATGTGAAGACAGGTGTCAGAAGGGACTGAGCACCACAAAAGCTGCTCAGGTCACTCCTTGGGAGGCTCCTGAGTGAGCCAAATGCCAAACCCATAGCGCTCGACTCCCAGACTCCTGCCTGCTTCCCTTCTGTTAATGATTATTAATCAGTCAGAAGCCTGATTGCTCGTTATGTTAATTGCCTCCATTCCCTCCTTGACTCCTGTTTTTGTTTCCTTTTTCCCCGGGGCTGTTCAGAACTCCCTTCCCTGGAATCTGAGCCCCCGCAGACCTGCTTTGTGGGTGACAATGTGACCCTGACCTGCCGGGTGACCGAGAGCACCCCGGCAGCTCGGCTCAGCTGGCTCCGGGACATCTCCCAGCCCGAGGAGGAGATCCAGCCTGGGGGGAGGTTCCTCATCGCCCAGGAGGGCAACGTGTCCCGGCTCACCATCCAGAACTGCTCGCAGGGCACTGACGGCGGCTGCTACGTCTGCAAGGCCCAGAACCCCGTGGGGCTCAGGGAGCTCTTTGTCTGCCTCACGGTGAAGCGTGAGTGGGGCTGCGGCAGGAGGGCCTGGGGACACTGCACACCTGAGAATTCCTCATCCTTCTGTGTCCCCACTCCACAGAGCCGGTGAACATCGTTGGGGTCGTGGGTGCTGTGGTGGTGCTGTCCCTCCTGACTGTTCTCACCGTCACCGGGGTTCTGTTGTACTACAATCCCCTCCTGTGCCTCAGAGGTAGGCTTTGGTTCCTCCTTCCTGGGGCTTTATCCCTGACCTGCTTGTCCCTCCCCGTGTGCTGGACTGTGCCATGTCTGGGCAGGTCACCTCCACATCTGTGCCTCTGCTTGGGGCTGCCAGTGACCGTCTGGGGGAGGCACAGATATAGAGGCAGGATTGACAGGGGTTGTCCAGTCCAGTAAAACCAGTGGCACTCCCAGAGGGGCAGTTTCTAATGGTGTCTCTTTTCTCTTCCGTTCAGGTGCTGCATTCAGGTGAGTTGACATTGCTCAGCCCAGTCCCTCATGGCATCACTACTCAGCCTTCCTGTAGCGCAGGGCACAGGCTCTCCTCAGCCTTTCATCCAGCTTGCTCTGCTGTTCCCAGGAATGCAGACTCCGGGGATGTCCTAGTGCTGGTGGACTCTGAAGATGACGAGGAGGGGAAGGGGTCTGAGGAAGCCCTGAACAGCTGCACTGAGCACGAGGCCATGGCGCTGGTCGGTGGGAGCAGGGCCCGGGCTGCTCACTTGAACCAGCTCACAGAAGGTGAGGAGCCACCTGCTCCCTGCTGAGCTCTGGGTCTTCCCAGAGCAGCTGCCAGGGAGGGAGGAGTTCTTGATGGCTGTTGTAGCTGAGGTGCTGCTCTGTGCCCTGTGTAGGTGACGATGACGAGCTCCACAGTGGGGTCTCTGCACAGGACGTGAGAGAAGAGACACGAGGCTCATAGCTTCTGTCCCTCCTTGAGGAAGCACACGGAGCTCCAGCTGGAATCCAGCGTCAAGCAGGCCCTCATTGTGTGTGGCTGAGCACAGGCTGTGAGTCCCAGGACACTTCAGGCACCTCTCTCTCCACCTGCCCCTTCCACAGTTTCATTCCGTCCTTCTCCAGCCATGTTTCTCCATTTCTTCTCTCTTCCATTTTCCTCCTTGTCTTGGGTGTCCCTAAAACAAGATGGCACCCAGCACAGGCAGAGCATGGGACCACCTCCTCACTTTGATGCCTGTGACAGACTTGAATTCATGTGTGGGATTCTGGCTCAGTCCCCATGAGCAGCTCTGTGATGGACAAAGTCACCACAGGGCCACAGTGGTCCTGGGGCGAGGGAAGAAACAAGGGCTGTGTGGGCAGGACATGGCTGACACTGACTCTCGGAAGGCTGAATTGTTTGTATTATAAATATTTTTCCTCTCTTCCTTCTGCAGTGTTGCTCTGTGTCCAAGTCAGGAGTTAATCTATTCCTTGTCAAGTGTGGGTGTAGGGTAATGGGGATATGCCATACATACGTGGGGACAAAGGGGACGTGACAGCTCACAGGGGATCTGATGGCCCGTGCAGAAGGGAAGCACTCCTGGGACATGCAGAGAGAGGCAGGGTCTGTGCTGTGGGTGAAGTCAGGGGGTCTGAGCCATGCCTGGGGTGTCAGAACAGTGGGAGCTGGAGCAGGCTGAGGGGACAGGGAGGGGTGGGGATGGTGCTTTGGGTCTGGCTGGGCACGGTGGTCTCTGAAGGGCCATAGAGCCTGAACAGAGGGTTCTGAGGGGCTGGAGCAGGGTCCGAGGGCTGGAGGGAATGGAGTGTGGGTGGAAGGATGAGATGGTTTGAGGGCCGAGAGTGGGAGCCTCCCTGCAGCCTGGTGCATTCATTCCCTGTGCCCCGCATCGCGCCCTCACAGCGGCGCTTGGAGCCAAGCCAGGAAAATCCCAGGGAGCTGCGGGAGCCTCTGGCTGCCCCGGCAACTCTGTTGTGCTGCCACCACCTCGGCTGTCCCGGTCCCAGCTCCTCCGCAGGCCCCTGGGCGAGGAGGAGGCACGGCCGAGATGGACGCGGAGCTGGAGGAGCGGTTGCGAGAGGCTTTCCGGGACAAGCTGTGGCTGCTGTGAGTGAGACCCCTCTGCCCTCCCTTTGGTGGCAGGTGACCAAAGAGCTGGCAACCAGGCCAGCACGTCCTGCGTGCCCCGTGATCTCGGGTTGTGCTCCCATCTCCCGGTGCCACTTCCAGGGTGGGTGCCACTGGGTGGGGGCAGCGTCCCCAGCTGAGGCTCCCCGGGATGAGAGGACACTGCAGCCATGGGCTGGGGGCAGGCAGGGGCATTCCCCGGGTTCTAAGAAGAAAGCTAAGATTGTGGTGTGACTTGTCCTTCCCTGGGGAACCGCGCTGGTGCTGGGGGGCTCCAAGTAGGGGAGGCTGAAGTGGGAGGGGTGGGCAGGAACGAGGGTGGGCAAGAACATCAATGCAGGCAGGGCTAAGCCTGTGTGGCTCCTGACAGCCCCTGCACCCACGGGGGAGCGGGCCAGGCTCCCCGCGCTGAGCCCGCGGACAGCGGTGGCCCGTGGGAGCCCTGCCCGTGGCAGCCCTGCCCGTGGCACCGTGGCAGATGCTCTGCCCAGGCTTTCCCTCCGCAGCCCGGCCGAGCTGCACGCAGCCCGTGGCAGGACGGCGGCAGCTCGGGGCCCCGCCACGCTGCCGCTGTCCACCCGTGTGCTCCTGAAGAGGCGGGAGGTGGCGGAGGTGGAGCGGCAGCTGCGGGACCAGCGGCAGGTGAGGGCGAGCCCAGCCCCCCGAGCGTCCCCTCCCCGGGCGCTGCAGCTGTGCCGCGGGGACGAGGGGCCGGCAGGCGTGTCCCCAGCTCCCCACGGGCTGGCACCCTCGGCTGCGCACAAGCGTGGGCGATGCTCTCGGCACCCTCCATCCCACAGGAGTTCCAGCAGCGGATGCAGCGCCTGGCGCAGCGCCGGCAGCAGCTGGCCCGGAGGCAAGAGCAGCATCGCGACGCCGTACTCAGATTCGACTCCTTCCTCCAGGTGCGGGCCCGGGGCCGGGAGGAGCGGGCGCGGGCGGCGGCGGAGCGAGCTGAGGCCGCCCGGCTGCGGCGGGAGCTGGAGCGGCTGCTGCGGCACAGGGAGCGCCTGGCCCGGCGCCTGCGGAGCCTCCGGCCCTTCGGGGACTACCTGCGGGACGCACTGGCCAGGATGGGGCAGGTGAGCTCCTGCCGTGCCACCCTGCGTGTCCCCAAGCCCCTTGGAGCGGTCATCCCTCCGGCCCTGCTGCCTCAGCCGCCTCCCACCGCCCAGTTCCAGGACGTGCCGGCCGTGCTGGTGCATTTCGGGGTGCTGGCGGGGGTGCGGGCAGCCCTGGCACGGGAGGCAGAAGCCGGGCAGGAGCAGCTGGCCCAGAGCAGGGCAGAGCTCCAGCGGTACCGCCAGGAGACCAGCACCCAGCTCCTGGGCACCAGGAACGAGCTGGCCCGGCTCCACGCACGCCTGGAGGCTGCCCGCCAAGATGTGCTCCAGTGGGTAAGGGGGATGTGCGGTGCCCCAGGGAGAGGGGCAGCAGTACAGACTCCAGGTGTGCTGCACAAGGGAGACAGATGCCCAATGTGGTGGTGGTGCCAAGGTGGGCTGCACCCTTCTGGGCTGAGATGAGGGTCCCCACTTGCCCAAAAAAGCAGCAGCTCTGCATGGGGAGGGTACACAGCCAGGACTCCTGGGTCCCCCAAGCCTGGCCTGGGGGGCACAGGACACAGGGCAGCAGCCAGAGGCTCACTCTGTCCCCCAGGAGTCCTGCTGGACCCACATCCAGGGCACAGCCATCCAGAAGACCCTGCTGCTGGGGCAGATCAAGCTGGCTGTGCTGAACCTCTTCCAGCAAACCACGGCACAGCTCAGGATCCCCATGGACAGAGCCCAGGAGGACACAAAGGCCCAGCTGGATATGGTCAGCACAACCCTCTCCCCGGGACAGTGGGGCTGGGGATGCACAGAGGCACTTACATCCCTGGATGGCTGTGGCATCAGGCTCCCATCTCCACAGGTGCTGCTCTGCATGCAGGCCCTGGCTGACATCTGTGCCACTGGCACACGCCCACAGCACCACAGGAGTTCCAGGCTGCTTCGGGGCCAGGAATAGCCCCTGGGGACACCTGCCTGCTCCTGGGGCTGGGGTGGGACTGCCAGGGCCAGCATGGAGCCACAGGGCCCCTGTGAATGGACATAATTCCCTGCAAGCCTGGAAACCTCATGTCAAGAGGCAACATGGACAGCAGCGGCACAGTCACACTGGGGAGGCACCACAACCAGGCAGGGCCAGGCCACTCCTGAGGTTCCCTCCTGCACAGAGCACCCCAGGCTGGAGGACGAGGAGGACGGAGCTGCTGTTGGCATCTCTGAAGGTGTTTCACATCAAAATACATCCAGCTGTGTAGCCGCAGCACCTTCTTATTCTTACGTCTCTAGGGAAAGAATTACCCCAGGCACAATGCTTGGAGCAAGGACAGAGAGAAGCTGGGATGCAAAACCAACCAATATTTACTGTCCCCTTCCCCAGCTCCCAGCCCAGGTGGAGGGGACGTGTGCCCTACATCCTCTTCCTGAGCTTGCCCTTCCTGGCGGCGCCGGCCCGGCGCCCGAAGGCCATCTGCCGCAGCTCCTGCACGCGCTGCCGGTTGCGCGCCTTGAGGCGCTTCAGGCCCCCGCTCTGCAGGAAGCGCTGCTTGGCTGCCTTCTTGCGCTGCTTCAGGATCTGCTGCTTGTTCTTCAGCTCCGAGCGCACCCTGCCCTGCGCCGGGGGCTGCGCGGGGCCTGTGCCTGCAGGGGACATGGCTGTGCTCAGAGCCAGGCTCAGGGGAGCTGTGCAGGGCTCTGTGCCTTCAGGAACTCACCGTGCCCACGCCTGTGCTTCCCTCTGAACTGCTCCCTGCTGCGCGGCCCTTCCTCATCCTCATCCCGCTCGTCAACCTTGTACTTCTGCTTCCACTTCTCATAGCTGGGGCGGGCGCGTTAAGGGAACATGTTGGGACTCCTTGTTTGACCCTGTGCAGTGGTTGTCAGACTGTGCTCCCTCCCCTGGCTGCTGCCCTGGCAGGGGATGGAGCCCTGACACGCAGGTCCAGCCCTGCTCCCGCAGCGCCCAGCCCAGGCAGGCAGCAGTGCCCATGGCAGGATACAGGTTGTTTTTGTAGGAGCTGCTGATGTAGCGCCCGCTCTCTGTCCGCACCTTCTTCTTGTCCTCTTGGCCTGTCTGCCCCACAAACCGCTTCTTCTTGCGGTCCCTGCCAGAGACAGAAAGGTGGTGGGACCGAGCAGGGCCACCCCCAGCCCCGATTCTCCCTCCAGCCCATGGGCAAAGCCCACTCACCACTTGAGGAGCTGCTTGTTCTTGTTGAGGTTGTGGTTCTCGTCGCCCATGAGATCCAGCACGGCCCCGGCCGCCTGCTGCTCGAAGGCGCTGCCGTCGCCGCCCACACTCAGCCTGCCAAGGGGGGTGATGAGAGCAGCCCCCACACAGGCTGGGAGGGGACAGCAGCAGGAGCCCCCCCAGACTTACCCCCGCTCACTCTCAAAGTCCTTGGGTCGGTATGGGATGTAGAAATCCTCAGCCTGCTGTGCCGGCTGCTGCGGCTTTTTCCTGGGACCATCTTCTCCTCCTCGGCCCCGTTTTCGCTTCTGGCCCCCCACATTGGAGAACACATCCTGGATGGGGACAGTGGAGGGGTTCAGGAGCCATGTCCCCCCAGTATGCCCACAAGTCTCTGCACCAACCCCCAAACCCCAGCTGGCACCCTGGTGCTGCCAGCACTGGGCCAAGGCAGCTCTGCAGCAGTTCCTGCATCCATGACCCAATTACCTGGAGATCTTCCTGCTCTCCTTCCCCTTCCTGTGGCTCGGGAGGGGCCGGGCACTTCCCCTGCCCTTTAAGTGCTGCTGCCCGCTTCTCCTGCTGCCCACGCTGGAACTTCTCGATCAGGGCACGGTCGTGGCGCCGCTTCGATCGCATCACGGTGCTGGCCGGTGTCCGGGATGTGGCATTGATCTCAAAGATGGTCTGTCCGCAGACATCATTCCCAGTGAGCCACATGGGCATCCCATCCCATCCCGATCCCCATCCTATTATCTCAACTCACCGCCTTGGACTTGTAGGTTTTAATGCTATCCACCAACTTCAGCCTCTGCAGCTCGGTGTCTTCGAAGCGAGCTCCTGGGGAAGGCAGGCAGGAACAGGGCACAGATCAGTTTCCTGGGGAGGGCAGCGGGGTCCCCTCCCTCGGCATCCCCTCAGCACTCACTGAAGAGGGGGTGCATGCCCAGCTGGGACACATCCAGGTCCTTGGCCCTCTTGATGGACTCTGGCGAGGGGCTGGGCCGGGAGCGCAGGTACTGCTTGTGGGCGTTGTCGGCGACACGGCGGAGGCTGCACAGCTCCAGAGAGCCCTCGTGGTCCGTCAGCAGCAGGCATTCCTCGTCATCCACCAGGCTCTGGGGAACACGGCCCAGGACCCCGCCAGCATCTGCAGCCCAGGGTACGCCATGTCACCTCCCCAGCAGCCAGCCTGCATTTCTCAGAGCAGAGCTGACAGCTTCAGGGAGCTGTTCAATCAGCATCCCACACACACAGGGTGCATCACAGCCCCCAACACCCCATTTTCCCCATCTGTGTGAGGGCCCACCACAAGACCACAAACTCCAGCACTGGCCAAGGAGAACACCCCAGTGGCCACACAGCCACGCCTCACCCGCAGGCATCTCCTGGGCTCCGGCGAGGATGAGCGGGCGCCCCAGGAAGAGGTGGAGGTCGAACACGTAGGGCATCTCATCAGGAGCCACCAGAGAGTAGGCAGTGCCACTCCGGCCAGCTCGGGCCACGCGACCTGGCACGGCAAAAAGGAGAATGGGAAACCATGCCCAGCCTGGCCCCACCCAGGCAAGGGATCCCTGGTGTCCCTGGCAGTCTACACATGTGACATTTACCATGGAGGCATGGCTGGCAAGGGACTGTGGGTGGCTGGGGAAGGGGCAAGGGGAAACTCTACAGGGAAGGTACCAGTCCTGCCCCCAAGAGCCCTCACAGTCCAGCTGGGACACTGACACACCTTTGTTCCCAGTCTGTCCCTCAATACCACAACCCAGGTGAGCACTGGCACCCACCAACACGATGCAGGAACAGCTTGCCCTTGGCAGGGAAGCTGAAGTTGATGACATTGTCCAGCATGGGGATGTCCAGCCCCCGGGCGGCCACGTCGGTGACCAGCAGCACTGGGCACTTGCCCTGGGAGAACTTGGCAATGTTGATCTTGCGGGCGGTCTGGTCCAGAGAGCTGTAGATGTGGGTGCAGCGGATGCCCTGCGCCGTCAGCAGCTGAGAAAGGGGAAAAGAGAGATTGAATGGATGTGCCCTCAGCAGAGAGACAGGGCCAGAGACTCCAGAGTGGCCACCTGCACCTCCAAATCCCACTGATGTGCTCCCTCCTCTCTCTCAGGGGCGAATGGATGCAGCACCTCCATGATCACATATTCTGGGATTTCTCCTTCAACCCAGTGAAATGGAGGGAGAGATTCCAGTAGAGACCTGTCGCAGCTGCAGACCCCACATGGGCACCCCCAAATGCCACTTACCTCCCTCAGATACTCTGTGTGGTGCTTGGTGGCCACGAAGACGACTGTCTGGTCCTGGGGCTTCACCACGCTGCGGAGCAGGTGGAGCAGCACGGCCGGTTTGTCGTCCCCGCGCACGTGGAAGAACACCAGCTGCAGCATGAGGGCAGCGCTCAGCCCTGTGCCACCACTGCCAGCCTCGTCCCCTCCTCGGCAGCAGGTGGCTTGCAGGGGGTAGGGGGCACAAAGCCCACCTTGAACTCCCCCATCTCACCTTGAGCTGCTCACTCAGCTTGGACTCCACATCCAGACGGATCAGCATCGGCTCAGTGAGGCCTGTGGTGGCACACAGGACATGGGTCACTCACGGGGTGTCCTGCTGGGGACACCCACTTGGCCCAGCATTAATCCAGCTTGGTTTTCCCAGTGCTGGGCTCGGCCTGGCTGTGGGGCTGTGCCGTGTCCCTGTCCCCAGTGCCACCTGCCCCAGGTCCTCACCAGCCCGGGCAAACTCGACGAGCAGCTTGGGCAGCGTGGCGGAGAACAGCACGGTCTGGTGGCAGTCTGGGAGCCGGGCGATGATCTCCTGGAGCTGCTCAGCAAAGCCCATCTCAAAGAGCCTGCAGGGGACAGGATATGGGACATGGCAGGTCCCTCCCTGCCACTCCCCGGGCCTCTCACCCGTGTGGGGACACTGCCAGCCCTGGGGACACCCCTGCTGACCTGTCAGCCTCGTCGAACACCACGTACTCCACGGTGTGCAGCTTCAGCTTCATCTCCACTGCCACATGCACCAGGCGCCCAGGGGTGGCTATGATTCTGTGGGGACAGAGGTGGTGACAGGAGCAGGCCAAGGGGGACACAGTGTCCCCACACCATCCTGGGAATAGGTCCCAAATCCAACCCAAAGACGACACAACAGAGACCCTGTTGTCCCACAGGAAGTTGCTCCAAGGGAACACCAGGAATGCCCATGAGGCACACCAGCTCTAAACACCAGTGATGTCCCCAGATGGCTGGTGGCCATTTCCCCACTGGGTCCCCTCCCTGTGCCCCACTCACATGTCAGGGTTCTCATGCAGGGCAGCAAACTGGTCCTCCATCCTGTGAGAGAGGGGAGAGGCTGGGGTGGCACTGGACAGCTCAGCCCCTCACCAGGTTTTGGGGAAGCTCAGGGAAGCAGGGATTGGAGGGGACATGGGGACAGCTTACTTGTCTCCTCCCAGGATCAGGGCTGTCTTCAAGCCAGTGAACTTGCCCAGCTGCAGAGTGAGGAATAAACATATTGGTGGGATGTAGAACCAAACCCATTGCCCCCATTGTTCCCACTCGCCCCCATGTCCACTGTACCTCCTTGGTGAACTTGAGGGTCTGCAGGGCCAGCTCCCGGGTGGGCGAGAGGATGAGGGCGCGTGCCCCGGCCTGGCTGGGCGCCTTCAGCCGCTCGAACATGGGGATGAGGAAACAGGCCGTCTTCCCACTGCCCGTCCGGGCCATGGCCACCACATCCCGGCCACGCAGGATGGCAGGGATGGTCTG